TTTTTTTTTTTTTTTTTTTTTTTTTTTTTTTTTTAATTTAGCTAGTGTGCTAAGAATGGCTTTTACATTTTTAGAGAGTAATGGGCAGATTTAAAAGAGTAATAACTTTTTTTTTTTTTTTGTCTTTTTGTCTTTTTTCGTGACCGGCAACGGACCGCAACCCTCAGTGTTGCGCCCGTACCGGACCGGGACCTGCTACGGGATCGCAACCCTCGGCATTGCCCCCGCTCCTCGCTCAGCCAGTGAGCGGCCAGTCTGTATGTGGGATCCGAACCCTCGGCGGGAGCGCCACCGGGCCGGCCCCCAAGAGTAATAACTCTTAAAAAAACAAAAAACCAACAGAAACCAGGTGATGTGACCTGCAAAAACCTAAAATATTTACTGCCTGACCCTTTACAAAGTAAGTTTGCCAGCCCCTCTTCTGTATAATCATAAAATATAACCAGTTTCTCTTTGATTTACACATATCATCAGGTCTTCTAGGATAAAACTTCAAGCCTCAGTGCCCTGACATGTTGACCTGACAATTGTAATGCATTAACAGTTTTGTCCTCATTGGGTGTTCTGGTACTTATAAGTTTACTGTTTCTTTTAGCATTAACTTCAGTCTGGGATATAGCTATCCTGTTGCCTAAGACTTTCCTCTGTGCAAGCCAGTCTTCTAACTCTTCACATCAGCATTTAGAACTTGATACTCCATGCCACCTTTTGTCTGATTATTTACAATCTCAAGTAGTCATGGTTGATATATATTTTATAGAGAGGGGAGGGCATCAGCAAAAGCTTCAGGCTAAGAATTAGACATGTCCAAGATCTCTGGTTTATATAAATGGAATTAATTTCCTAATTGTCAATTTTATAAATTTCTCAAATATAATTTTTAAATTCCTTATTTAAATTCCTGCATTGTAAAGAGTGCAGCTTTATTTTCTAAAAGCTTGGTAAAATTGTCAAATTGATTTGTTAACTGGTATTCCAACACTGCTATATCCTGTCTTTTGTGAAGTGTCCCAACTTAATGGTTACTCATACAAAGTATTTGTGTTTTATATGTGATTAATTTACTTTTTAAAAACAACTTAAGGAAATTTCAAGGTTAACATCTATTTTTGCTTATTCACTTGCATTCTGATAAGCATTCTTGCATGGGAGAGCAAGGTGTGGAGGTGCAGTTGCCATGCAGGGAATTGGTATAATCTGCATCAGTGCTGTCTGCCACAGTCCAGTGTGAGGAACTAGTACCGATGAACCACTAAGATGTGGGTCACTTGAGTTTCTGTAATATTTTGTTTCTCTTTCAATTTTAAAAAAACTGGTCAAAATTGGGGGTTACCTATTGGAATACACGATGAACCACTAAGATGTGGGTCACTTGAGTTTCTGTAATATTTTGTTTCTCTTTCAATTTAAAAAAAAACTGGTCAAAATTGGGGGTTACCTATTGGAATACGGTCACAGATTTATCATGTCAGAAAGGGGGTTGAGAACTGATGATCTATATCTAGAAGTATGGTTTTTAAAATCTTACCTTGACATTTTACCTTTTTTTTTTTGGTGCCTGGCTGGTAGAAGGATCAAACCCTGGACTTGGGTGTTATCAGTACCACACTCTAACCAACTGAGCTAACCAGCTAGCCCTGACATTTTACTTTAACAGTTATTTAATATAATTTAAAAATTTAAAGTCCCTTTTTACTTTTTATATACCAGTGAGTTAATTGAGCCACATTGTACTAAGAAGCATAAGTAAAATACATAAATATTGGAGTCAAATTCTTGTGTCCAGAGGAACTATAGCTGATCTTCATATGGTGTTTGAATTTAGGAGACTGCTTCCTTTGTAATGATAGTTTTTCCTTTTGGAATTAAGTTCTTTCTTTACCCTTATACATCAATGGTATGTTTCCCAAGTGACTGTGCTAAATTTTCATACCTGTTTACAATTAGGTTACATTATCATAGTTAGTTGATCGGTCTTCACATTTTGGATTAAATTTCCAAAGATTTTGGAAGGTGAAAAGGTAACTGCTGGATTATAGGTGAGCAATGAACTTTTAGATAAGGAAGGGTTCTCTTTAGCTCTTTGTACTTAAAAGATGAATGTTCATTTTTAGGAGGTTAACAAATGAATAAAACTTTTTAAATTTAGAATTTTGTGTATTTTTGAGGAAGAAGACAACCAAGTTTTTTCCCCAGAATTAGTCTGAATGACATTTTATTATCACTTAACAGATTCAGTGATTTATATATATGTAATATATTACTCCTTCACTAGACTGTATTTGAAGCCAGTGTCTTTTCCCCCCCACATCAGGCAGGTAGTGTGCCAACCAGTAGCAAAATTTGAAGGAGGCACATCTCACACAATAGTGTGAAACCCCAGTCATCACACTTAAGAACCACAGAAGGATCCCAGTCTTTTTTTCTGGCGACTGACCCATAAGGGGATCCGAACCCTTGACCTTGTTCTCAACACCATGCTGTCCCAAGTGAGCTAAGTGGCCAGCCTCCAGTATCTTTTTAATATGCGTGCATGTGGGTGTCTTTAATTCTTAGAGT